CCGAGGATGGCGATTGATGTTGCATTTAAAGTTTTGAAGACCGGAAAGCAAGAAGTCGGAACAGAGTTCCACACACAAGATGTACGAGAGAAGAAACTATTAGAGTAAGTTCTTCCTGGCTACATCTAACTATTTCAACAGTAAAATGATGAGACCTAACAGCCAGTCTAGTACTACGCTTAAATTAAGGTGGTTGAGGTACCAAAGAGAAAAAATCAGTAGAACTATTGCCATGAAACTATTTATAGAAAAGACAGGGAAGTTATGTTAGGACGGTGGGAGGGGGGAATCAAGCCGAGATGACAACTCAAAACGTATAGTATTACAGACCCTTTTTCGGATTTTGTCCAGAATCTCGAGATATATATTAAGAGCACCAGCCCAGTGTGGCAGCAATATTTAATGGTTAAGCAACGTCGAGCCGGGTCAGTACCTATATGGGTTACCGCTGGCAGATACTCGGAGAGACGAGTTCCAATTTGAGGCAGTTTCTTTACATTCACTTACACGAAAATGCTCTTAGGATGGGTATGAATTCGCCTCATATGTTCATATTCGCTGCATACTATTAAATCCATAGCCGGGGGGGCTATGGATTAAATAGTATGGCTTGTATCAGTAAATCATTATGATCGACAAAATATTCTTACAACCTTAAACTATTTTCCGGTTTTAAATAACCTGAAAAAGGTTGATTTTTTTTCACAATGGTGTTCACTTTGTACAAGACTCAAGAGAGCCTCGAGGTAGAGAGTTCCAGTTTAAGAGGCACCACCCCAAGCCAGGAGATAATGCCACCAAGACGCAAGTCTCACCGGAAGTGAAAGAGAAGGAAAAGACTTTAGAAGAACCCGGAAAACCAATTCTAAACAGGAAACACGGGATAAGCCTTAACTCATGTTCAAAAGACCTGGAAGGAGTGTGAACCGGACCATAAAAGCCGTAAAAATCATATCAATCAATTAATCAATCAATCAATTAATCAATCAATTAATCAATCAATTAATCAATCAATAAATATTCACTTCACTAACAAATCGTAGATTTATAAACGTGCAAGATGGATTCTAGCTTGAAAAACAAACACTCTGGTACAACACTGTGAACCAACTTTTCAAGCAGCCATCAAATAAAACACATAACATTATTCTTTGACTTTTGTTCTACTTCAGATAAAAGATTTTTTTCTTTCAAGATATGAACAACAAATTGGAGAATATTAACATCAAACAAATTATTTTACAATGATGTTCGCAATATACAAGAGCCACTCGAAGTAGAGAGATAAAGAGTAAGAGACTGCGTTTATGAATATAGTGATTTTCCAATCATAGCTTAGATGTGGCAAAAGGCTAAAAGTATGGCGCACCCAGTGAGGATCGAACTCACCACTCAGTAGTAATTGTTCTAGCAAGACAAGCTTTCTAACCATTACACCGCCTCCAGGTGACCCTGAGTTTATGAATATATGTGGGAAGAGAACGGTTAAGCCTAGACCTGAACAGGTTAAGTTTGTAGTGATCTGGGAATCATCCTCTTGGGAGTCGGTACCATGAAGTGGCGGTTCGTGGGTAAAAGGCTGCTTGAATGGAACATACATCTGAATGGAATACGAAGAGAATGATGGTAGTTCGTTACAATGTGTGTGGCATAGAGGGTCTTAGCCGTGAAGGCAAGAACCACTGGAACTAAAAAATACAGTTAGGCTGAAGTCTTTCCATGGAAATAGCGCCAAAACAGGGCATATAAAATAATTTGTCATCCACAGGGATGTAGAGACGCTTTTGGACTCTATCGGGACTAAAAAGTGCAACCTGTGCAGCTCCTGTCCCCATATGGCAGCAGTAAATCATTTTCAGTCTAATTTGGCTCTTGTAAAGCTACAGGATAACAGGAGTGGGCCAGGTACTTACTAGAATGGTAAATAAAACCAACTATTTCTATACAGAAATGTGTATAGGATGTGGGATGTGTTACAACAGATGACGGAAAATGCGACATCGATGCCCGAACTGGCATTGCTTTAGTGAAAGATGCTTTCTAAAAGAAAGGATTTAGAAACAGGAATTTTTTTTTGTTAGAAACAAAGCAAGAATAGTGAAGCTAATATGCAGTGGATGGGAGACAATCACAACACAGATCTAAAGGGAACTAGAGGCAACAAAAATGTGGTTCTACAGAAGGATACTGAGTTCCATGGACGGAGCTAAAATCAACGTGGAAGTCTTCAAGAAAATAGTAACAAAAAGAACACTTATAGTCAGAATCAGAAGAGACAGCTGAATTTTTTGAACTCATAATGAGGAAGTAGGGTTTGGAAAATCTAACTCTTGCAGAGAACACTGATAGCAAGACAGACTGGGTCACGTACCTGACGAGCTTTTCCTCTTTGTTCCTCCTTAAGGCACACTGCTAGCGGAGTGGCCATGTTTACACTGTAACGGCTCGATCAAGCTCAAATTTCGATCATGTGACCACAATAGTACTAACTATAAGGACGCATGAGCAGAAGACAATGTGCCGAACCTAAGTATGTATTATGGCAAAAGTGCGGGTAATTTTTTGTCTTACCCCCGTATGTTCTATGGCTTTCGACGACCTTTACACTAACCGTCAGCTAAATTGAGCAGTTATTAGGCTTATTAGGTTGATGAAAGTGTTTGCAGTATTTTTTGAGAACATCTTTTATTTAAGAGTGTCTGTTGAAAAGTTCATGGGCTGACCAAGATACTCTCATGGAATGTGACCAAATGAGGTTTATTTTTCAACATAGTCCCCCTTGCGGTCCACACATCTCTTCCATTTGGTGTTGCAATGCGTGGATCCCATTGGTTAAGAAGCTTTCATCCTGGTGACCAAGAAAGTCATCGACAGAAGATATGACGTCATCATCACTGCGATATTGGTTCCCACTCAAGTGTTTTTTTTCATGTTCCCTACTCATCAGGAGAATAGGTGTGTCTAGTGTGGGTGACCAACCAGTTCAAAACCACAACAACCCACAACAGCCATTCAAACCAAAGACTTGTGTGCTGGAGCATTGCCATCATGAAACAAGGACATTTTCGTCACTTTTCATGGACGTTTAATCTTTATAGCCTTTCGTGACTGTCTAAGCAAGTTGACATTGTGCTCTCCACTGATGGTGTGGCCCTTTTGAAGATAGTCACTAAACACAGTGCCTTTCGTCATTTTTCCTGGACGTTTGGCCTTGATAGCCTTTCGTAACTGCCTCAGCAAGTTGACGTTGTACTCTCCACTGATGGTGTGGCCCTTTTGAAGATAGTCAATAAACATAATGCCTTTTGCACCCCCCCCCACAAAACCCCTAGAGATCATCACCTTCTCTGCAGATGAAGCAATCTCGGCCTTCTTTGGAACAGATGATGGATAGTCTCTGTCTCAAAGTGATCACGATCAATGTTATCCACAGTGGTTGCAGTTGCAGGACGCACATACATTGCGTCATCATCTAAATTCAGCTGCCCACTTTTGCTCTGTTGATGAAGCTGGATCATCATCCTTTAATGTAGCAACCATGCCATCATGTATGTCGTTGGGGGCTAAAGCCTTTTTTCTGTAGGTACTTGATAACACCACGATGTCAAATTTTGTCCATTTTGAAGATAAGTCCCTCGTAGTTACTTTTGAAGTCTTCTTTGAACAGTGAGATGTCAGTTTACCTGGAAAGAATCTATGCAGTTATTAATAAAAAAATGAGTTGACACAAGCAAGATATCACAATTCTAGCATCACTCTTTCATACCCAACCTTATGAACTTTTCAGCCCACCCTCGTACTTGGAAAGAAACAATGCAGTTATTAATAAGAAGGATTGAAATTAATGCATGCAAGATTTCACAGCTCTAGCATCCACTCCTTCATAATCAGGCTATGATCTTTTCAGCCCTACCCTCGTACTTGGAAAGAAACAACCGTAACCTCAGCCCTACTCTCGTATCTAACTTTTTCATTCAGTAATTTATTTAAAAAATTTATTCTAGCAACTCACGCCTAATTTTCTGCAATCAATGTGACCCTTGTTTTTTTTTAAATTGTGTAGAAATTCTTTTGTGTAAAACCTTCCTACGCCTACTCATCGGTTAATTGTGATTTTTCTCCTATAATACACATAATGAAATATTTAATAATCCAACAAAGTTTGATATGTCTTTTAACTAAAGCAAATTAGCCTAAACATTTTCCAAGACTATATACCTTTACAATGTCCAACTATCTCAGCCACTTGGCATTCTTTTTTGTCAACCATGTCTTTATTTATTTTTCGTATTCCCTACCTTAAAAATCATTTAAGTTTTTTTTTTCATACGTGTGTATTGCTGTTTGGCGCCATTTGTATTGGTGTGAAGCCAGACATTATTTTTCCATTGGCATTCAATCGTTTTGTCAGATGATTTTTTTTATTGAGTATTGATCGGAAATACATTGCACGATTTTGGCGATACATTAAAATTGGGTCAAATCTAAATTTTATTTTCAACCAGAATTTTTCCTAACTTAAGCAAAATTACGATTAAAAACATCTTAAAAAATACGTAATCACAAGCAATAAAGTATCGAGTAATGATTAAAGGCACTTTTAAGATTTCTCTAACATTAGACAAAACTAGACCTGAGAACTTTTGCATCATAGTAAATTACGAAATTTACAAGAAAACCGTCCGAAAACCATTTTATTTTCAGATAAATTATTAATTTTATATAATTGATTCTTTTTTTACCGTTTATCAGCCCTTTATAAGTTATTTAAAATCAGAAAATATTTTTATGTTCTAAGAATGCTTTTTGGGGGAGGTGATAATGATTTAGTGACATAAGTCTTACTAATTAACCCATAGATGGGGAAGAAAAATTGGATTCATGCCTTTCTTAAAGCTATTTGCACGTAAGAGAATATAACGAACCCAATCAGAATTGGAACTCGGCTCTCCGATTAACAATTTCGAACCATTATCCATTAAAACACCCGCACATCGAAGCTTACAGCATCTGGTATTCCAAAGCGGTCACCCATCTAGGTAATGACCAGTCTCGACGTTGCTTAACTTCGGTGATCATACGAGAACCAGTGCTTCAATGGGATTTATATAATTGAAAGGCAATGTAAAAATCTGTAAGCTTTTGATGTATCTAGAAATCTTCTGAAAAAAGTCCCCCCCCCAAAAAAAACAATCTCCAATATTATCGGTCCTGATCTGGTATCTTTACTTCACTTACTTTGCCACCGCAATAATGTACCTTCCATGTGCATTTTCTGAAAAATATTTTTATGACAATTGTTCTGATGAGTTTACATTTTTGGCATCTCGATTTTTGATGGATTTAAGAGTGACAGCCAGATTTCATCATTGTACTGTTGACATTGTTAAATATAAACTGCAAGTTCTATTCTAATGGTTTCTTCTCTCGCACTTATCACCTGTGGAACTCTCTTCTAGCTTTCCTGTAAACAACAACCTCAAAAAAGTTAAATGACACTTCATTTTATTTCCTTGAAACCTGTTCTTTTTATTGTCTTTTCTCCTCACTAACGTTTTCCCAGATTTGATCACTCGCACTAACCCCTTGCGTCTTAGTGGCTTTAGCGCCATTCTTGGGGGTGAAATGATTGAAAAAATCTCCTCGTCTGTTTACGTGTCTACTATGAAGGTTCAACTGTAAACTGAACTTGCCGTGGCTTATGGCTACACCACGTTGAAACACCGGTTTCTGTGCGATCACCGAAGTTAAGTAACGTCGAACCAGGTAATTACTTAGATGGGTGACCGATTGGAAATACCAGGTGTTGTAAGCTTGGATGTGCGGGTGGTGTAGTAGATTTCGACTCAGAATTGTTAATCGGAGAGCCGAGTTTCAATTCCTCATGGGTTCGTTATATACACTTGTTTTTTTTTTTAAGCAATAACACCCTAAGCAAGGCGGGAAGCCACTAGCATGCAAGGGGTTACAGAGAGTTGGAGCTAGAGCAATTAGGAGTGATAGAGGAAAGGATGAAGAGAAGGTTAGGGGATAGATCAGGGCATCTGGAGACGTCGATTGACATTACATTTGAATATTTAGCTATCAAGAAAACAAGAAATGGGGAGAGAGTTCCACAGGCGAGAAGTGCGAGACATGAAGCTATTGGGTTAGAAGAGACGGCTAAATTTAACAGTTTCGACAGTGAAAGTGTGAGAGCGAGATGCCAGCCTAGTTGAACGCTTAAATTCATGAAGTCTGGGAACCAGCGGAAGCAACTCATCGGAGCAGTTACCGTGAAAGTATTTGTAAAATAAGACAGAGGGAGGCAACGGCACGTCTGTGAGAGAGCGACTGCAGACGAGATGCCAGATCAGGGCCTTTTACATTGCATATCCGTCTTTGGATTCTATTAAGGACCCTGAGACAAACAGAAGGGGCTCCAGACCATATATGGCAGAAATACTCCATGTAAGGAAGAATGGTTGATTTGTAGATTTGAAGGATTGACTCCGGCGAGAAAATTTTCTGGCGCGGCACAGGGAGCCAACTTTCCTTGCGGTGGTCGAAGCAATTGACTCAATGTATTTGTTCCATCTCAGGTCATCAGACAATGTGAGACCGAGTAGTCGTAAAGAGGTGCTCTCGTGAAGTTGAGCGTCAGACATTCTAATAGGAGGCAGGGATGGTTCTCTCTGGTGAGTAATAGAAAGCAGTTTTCTTTTTGAGGCATTAAAGTTAACCAGCCAATTCCTGCCCCAGTCCTCAACCGATTGGAGGTCCTTTTCGAGACTAACGGCCAGGTTAGTTTTGTCAGTTACACTAGATTTGTTTTTGAGGCAGGAGTAAATACTAGTGTCGTCCGCATAGATGCCTACTTGGGAACCTATGGCAACAGGAAGATCATTAATGAAGATAAGGAACAGAGTAGGGCCTAGGACAGAGCCTTGGGGAAAACCTGCATTCGTGGAATAGGAGCTGGAGGAGAATCCGTTGAGAACGACCTTCAATGCACGGTTTGACAGGAATGATTGTATTAAGTCGAACAATCGACTGGAAATTCCATAACCCAGAAGATTGCAAACGACACGAGCTTCTCCGTTATTATGAAGTGCTTGGTAAACAATTTCAGTTATTCCTGTGAGCACATCAGCTGTAGAACGGGCAAAGCGGAAACCATATTGCTTGTCGGAGTGCAGATTATGGGATGTAAGGTGCATAACCACTTGGGCGTTGATTAAAGCTTCAAAGACTTTGCCGAAGAGGGGGAGGAGACAGATAGGACGGTAATTAGAAGGGTCAGAAGGGTCTCCGGAGTTCTTAAAGACAGGAACAACGGATGAGGACTTCCAACAGGCTGGAAAACAAGATTTATCGAGGCAGTAGTTATATAATTTGGAAAGGGCAGGGGCCAGCCAGGCGCACATTTCTTCAGGACAATGGCTGGTATCCTGTCTCCACCACTAGCCTTGTGGGGGTCTAATTTAGAGATGATGCCCAGAACCGATGACGGGGTTATGTGCAACTCGCTCAATAGAGCCTCAGTTCTAAGAGGGAAATCGGGTGTGGGTATACCGGAAGAGTCGAGCGTTGAATTGAATGAGAATTTCCGATCAAAGCATTCAACCTTGTCGGCAGAAGAGGTCAACTGTTTGAACAAAGGAGGTATAGAGGGTTTGCTATTGTTAAGTACGCTCTTTCAGAGACACCAATAATCCTTGGAGCCGAATTTGCGAGATGCAATACGTTCTTTCATTCGAGCAGCTTTGCTTCATTGAGGACACGCTTACACTCGTTACAGGCAGAGACCAAGAGACGTCTATTGCAATCAGACATGTGACTACGATATAGGTGGAAGAAGTGATTCCTATGGGCAACAGCAGCTGAGTAAGCAACGGAGAACCAGGGGGAGGAGTGCGATTTGACCTTATATTTCCTTGTGGGGATGAAAGCCTTGATTCCAGCTTTAACCCAGGAGGAGACCTCGGAAGCACATTATTGAACGGGGAAGACAACGTCCCAGGGAACATCGCAAACGAAATCCCGGAACGAGTCCCAGTCTGCTTGTTGATAGCAGAACGGTGTTCTAGTCGTAGGAGGTTCTTTGCAGGGGGTGGAGTTGAAGGAGATGTTGACAGACACTACAGCATGATCGGAGTTGCCAAGACGATAGAGCTGCGTGCACCTTCCACGACAGGCCCCCACCCGGTTTTGGTCGGCGTCCATATAAACGAACGTCCCCAGAGTAGGCAGTCACAAGTCCAGTTGGCGACAGTTGGAGTCACAAAGTTGAGTTGCAGTTGAGCTGTGAGCTCGGAGACCAGCCTCGCAGGAGCTGACTGAAAGATTTCCACGCATTCTAACCAAAAACAATTTTTTTTCAAGAACGACTTTGACTCACACCACCAAAACAAGTTTTACGAATATCGTCTGAAGATACCAAAAAAACAGTTTATTGAAAAATAACTTAAGATATTAAGACTCGCCTAAGAAACGCAAAGTGTCACGTATCCATAGAAGCGGTTTGGGAGAAAGACGCAGTCCTGTATTCAGCAACCAGATATAAAGATACTTGTTATTCTTTTTTAACACATTTGAATCTTTTGAGTTGTTACTTTATTTTCTTTCACATATACTTATGCGGTATTACCTTTGCCCCGGATTCGGCTTGCACTACGGCCCGACGCCTGATTGATTTCGTCTACCTAAAATCAAATCACAACGTGGGTAGGTTAGACTAGGAATCAAAGCAGTTACTACCGAATCAGCCAAGGGTTAGATCGTCACAGGATAGCACGGGAGCAGGACCAGGGGGTGATATATATATATATATATATATATATATATATATATATATATATATATATATATATATATATGTGTGTGTGTGTGTGTGTGTGTGTTAAATTAAAGAATTATTCGAAAGCAATATTTAAAATAAAGTATTTCATTAGAACCTGGCACTATCACAAGCATTTTATCTTTTAAGCAAAATCTACATCAGGATATATTTTATGAAACAGATAATACTGATTAATACTGATTAATGAAACAGATAATACTGATTAATTAGAATGAACAATTTAATAGAACAGCTCGTTAAACTGATCATGATATAGGTTCCTCATGTTTGTTTACTCTTGTTTTTATTAACTATGTCCTATGAAAATGATGGCTATAATTGCTCTCCACAATTTACCTTTCTTAAATATCTATAAATTGTGAATTATGATGGCTGTTCTTAGAAAGGATAGGGAACTTGTTTCCACTCGCCTTGTCCATAGCTTTGAATTCGTAATTGCTTTACGAATACCAGAGAAACTAGTGTGTCTATAGCTTACCCATAAATGGGGAGAAAATAGCCTAAGTTTTGCAAACAGAAAAACAGAATCAAACTACACTATTATATTGCAAGTTTTTATCCGCCTTTCAACTGGTGGCTGGGCATTAAGTTATTTTTCTCTACCACCGGTAAAGCGGTGGTAAGGGCTGAAACGGTTAAGTTTGTTTTGTGAATATAATTATGAACTTTAAGTATTGACTGATATGAAGAGAACTTTTTTTTCCTGATTAACCAATTATTACCAGCCATAAAATTCGGCATTAATTAGTTTTGTTAAAATCCATCATTAATTACAGGTTTCTAAAAAAAAACATTATCAACTCTGACGCAGTGGACATCAGCAACTGATATTTCATTAAAGATGAGCTGATATAGATTGATTGTTTAAACTTTTCCAACGACACGGACATCATTCTTTCATGATTAGAGACTAAATCATTAATTAGTAACTCTAAGATTCACGAGATTACGCTATTTTCTTGGAGTATTTTGAAGGACAGGGTTATATCTGCAGTCATATTTCTCAGAGATAAGAGTCGAAAAATGGTGACGACTTGGTACAAAGAATCTGTCCTGTGAGCATTAGATTTTCCAAGCCCTCCATCCTCATTACGTGCCTCAAAAACCTCAACCGTTTCTTCAGTATGTTTCCTTTTTGTTTTCCTTTTCTTTCAAAACTCGTCTTTGCTTACACGATCGGTCCATGTTATCCTCAGCATCCTTGTGTAGAATGATATTTCTGTTGCTTCAAGTCTCTTCATCATTGAGAAGACTGCCCATCATTTACTTCCATAAAGGAAAAGAGAACTCAACCTGCCGATTCCATTTCAACACCGAAAATCGTTACGTCACTTGCATATCTGCCTTTAGTGCACATTTCATTATTTCGATAAAAAAAATGTCTTCTCAGCCTGAAACATACATAAAGTTCTGTCAAACACAAACAGTTTTTTTTAAGAAGGTGCGGTATTTTTGTCTGCACCTTCCAATAGCAGGCAATAAGTTTTAATGGCTTCTATTGGTAAAACTGGGCCTGTTCAAGACATCTTCCATTACAGACACCAGTTTTTCTGCAACCAGAAGTTCTTCCATTCTTTGCCTTCATGACTTCACAAGAAAGCGGAATCGAAATTCGGATCGTTCAGTGCAAAAGAAAAAAACACCAATAAATTTAATGCATTTAATTTTGTCTTATAGCAGCAACTGAAGAAATATTAGTTCAAAATGTTCTGCTTAAGTTTTCTGCTAGATTTTTCCATTGCTAAATTAATACGACAGGGTGCTGAAAATTGGACTCATCGAGAGAAAACATATATCTAGCCAAATGACCTAAAATTAGAAGTTTTTTTAATTTTTAAACCCTTTCGTTGGCAGGCTGTGAATTTTCAGCACCCTCATTGTTCATGGATTCTACTATTGCAGTTTAAAATTTTGGATAAGAATTTATGAATAAAATGAATCCGAAATAACATGACGGGAGTTCGTTCGAAA